GAGGGAAGGCAAGGCGAGTAACCAGCAGGGCTGATGAAAGAAGGAAGGATGCTCTGTGACCTGTACAGTCTAGTTTCAGTCCTCACTGTCCTATTCATGGAGAGAAGGGAACTCATGACTCCTTTGATGAGCACAGTCGAGTTGACTCCAGGTATTAAACTGGGCCAGGTGAAGTAGAAGGCATGCACTTAAGCTGAGGCTGAATTACTCTGGATTGAGTGGAAGTCCCTGCTTGGGGAACAGCATTTGAATAAGATTTTTCCCGCCAGTAAGAGCAGTAGTTCTGTGATGGCCATGTACCCAATTCCTGCAAATGCCAGGCTATGTTATGATGTGGTCAGTTTGTCACCACAGAATGGTACATTTTGTATGTAGAAATGTATGCTACCTATATCTAGTTTTCACATTATTTTCTTCAAAACTGGCCAATAAGCACTCAAAATTTTGCCTGTTTCTTATACTCTGTTCCAGTACGAGTCACCATCTAGGTTGCTGCTGGACTAGATGGACCTTTCCATTGATATATACAGTATGGCTGGTCTTACGATTTCAGGCAGTTTTGTTCCATAAACAAGTTAACATTGCTTTCTGCCACTTGTAATCCTTTCGTTTGAAACCTATATTAATATTTCATCCATGCTTCTGACTAGCTGTGAGCTAGTACTAAGTGGGGATTTAGCTCCTCCATTTCCTACTCCCTTGCAACAGCAGGGGCACAGGCATCTCTCAGGTCCTCTGCTCTGTGCAGGAGTTGCAGGAGATGCTCTTTCCCCAGCAGTGATGCTCCCTGCCAGTGACTGACCTCTCAGAATTAGTCCAGAACCTGAGGCTTCTGAAAACACAATCAGTGCTCCCCAAAAGAAATTTGCATTATCCTATCCCAAATCTAAGTATTACTTAGGTTTTAGCATGGGATTATTGAGTTTATTATAGTCTTCTTTTGAACTCTCCAGAGCTAGCATCTTTTATTACAGCTCTATTCTTCATATCCTTCCCCTCCCACCATCACCCCCTGCACGTGTATTTTCCTTAGAAATCCATACGGATGACTTGCCTTTCAGGAACATAGTGCAATAAGGTGCATGCAGGCATGTTCTGTGATAGTGAACTCCATGTATGGATGCAGCTGAACTTTCTACAGGCTGTAGATTAAAATTCTTATGACATTTTTTGAGTGTTAAGGTAAGCAAAATGTAAAATGCAGGAAAGATCTTTAAGTATTTAGAGATTTAATTGTGACCTCTCTCTCTCTCGGTCACGTTGAAGCCTTGAATGAAAGTTTCATTTGATACTGATGATGGGAACAACCTTGAAAGTGCAGCTGAGGACTTTGCTTGTGACTGGATAGGACTTTCAGTCATCACCAAGGCCTAAAAATAAATCACTCTTCACCATTAAAGCTTGAAGGTGGTCGTTAGTTACATGTTTAGAAATAAGCAAAGGCGGGTGGATGGATAATTCTTGAGCTGAAGATCAGCGTTTATTGCTTGAGGGGAAACACTGTCCACGTGGAATCTGTGAGCACTCCCAGAGCAGACGAGAACATTGCATAGGCCACTGCCCAGCAATGAGTGAAATCATAAAATTTTAGTGCCACTAAACACAGCTACTAGTGAGGTGGCTGGGAGGGCTCACATTTGTTTGTGCTGTTCTTGTAGCAAGTTGTCATGGTTTTTGTCTGTGGTACTGCTTATGTTTTAATCTTTCAGTTTGGGGCTGTAGGGGAGAAGTTACTTCCTCCTTTAAAAGCAGTCCATTTCCATGATAAAAGGGTATTCCCAAGTAATATTAAATAATATGCTTTAATTTAGATTTTAAAATATAAAATCAACTCTAAATTATGAACTAAAATGTAATACTTAACAGTGTTTATCTACTACCCCTAAGAGCAGCACTACAGTATATCTATTATCCCTAAGAAAAGCATTGCAGTACTTGGTTTGTTGTTCCTCCCCCCGATTTTTTTTTAGGCTACAGAAAGTATGGCAAGCCACCCTACCTAATGTTTTTGCTTTGAGGGGGTTGTTGTTGGCAGTTGCGGAGCCGTTCCCCGGTGGTTTCGTTGGTTATGCAATTAAGAGCTGTCAAAAATACGCACTGCAAGGAGCAGGTGTTATATTGAGTATATGAAACTAAGTAATAATAATTTAAGAAGTCTTCAGTCTGATAATAGATCAGAAGCAGAACGAAAACTTAATCAAAGCAATGGGGTTTTTTCCCAGTCATAGCAGACAGTATTTTATCAAAACTACAGATCAACCACTGCCTTTTTGATTCTTTTCCCCAGCACTGGTTCATTTCTCTGTCAGTGGAAATTTTTAATGAGTAAAAAGCTCAGCAACCTTCTGTTCATCTTCTGAAGGCTGCTCCTCTCTGTCACCGGTATTTTGGGTAGGGTTTTTCTAAAGATAAAAGGCGTCTTCTTAAGCAGACAGTTGAACCGTTCTGCTTCAGTGACTTTTACATGTGTTAAAGAAGTCCTAAAATACATGTCTTGCTACCAGACAGAATACTGCATTCAGTGTGTTTGCAAGTGGCTGCAGCATGACTGGGGCGATCTTGGACTTGCTGAGGTGTCTGTGGAAAAGGTAGCTTTGGTGGGCTTGTATTTTCTTTTTTTTTTTTCAAATTACTTATTTTAAATACATCATTTTAGGAAGGTTTTTGGTGCTGAAATATTCATTTTGGTCATTAAATATTTAAGATTGCGATGGCTGTTTGGAGTTTAAACTGTTCTTTCTAACTTGCACCAGCACATAACTCGGTCATTAGAAAGCAGAAGACAAAACGAAATGTGTTATTTCAGCCCTGTCATTCACGAACAGTGTCAGGAGTGAGATATTTTGGGCTTGCATAATTTCTTACTTAAAGCAGTTAAGAGACAGGAGAGAGAGAGAGAGGCTGCAGAATCTGATAGAATAAAGATATAGAACTGAAAAAATATTTGAATTGCCATTTAAAAAACAAAACCACATTCAACCAGAGCAGAAAGGGAAGAAAAGCCCCAAAACTATACAAGTTTATAACTGTACCCAATGAGGAGAGTAGCAGGCAGAAACAGCCCTTCCTCTTTTAACAGCCTGCACCCTGCACAGTTTTCTGTGGTGTGGGGTTGTGCTTGCCTGAGAGGTAAAAGCCATTTATCTCCACCAAAAGGAAAGCTCCTAGCATACTTCTGTATTAGCAGCAGTTATAGCTGATGAGCCGAATTCTTGCCCCTCCTTGCTGAGCTGCTTGGCACTGCTGAGCCTGTGCAGCAAGGAGTGCTGGAGTGCTCTTCTGTGCCTTCAGCCCAGAGCATATATACAAGTTAAACATAAATACATTGAGCAAAAATACCAAAAAGTTATTGGGAGTGTGTTTTCAATAGTCCTCTGTGCTTTTATCAGCACAATCCTAGCTACAGAAGTGAAATGATGGCCTTATCTTTATGGAGGCGGGAACTGTACTGGTGCTACCGTTTAGGATATCCGAAATCCTGTGCGTGGACATCTCTATTTGGAGAGAGAGTATCCTATTTTGAGATAACTGATCCTATAGAAATTTGACAAAGATGTGTTTGTTCCAGAATAATTTCCTGGTCAAAGAAATGTATGTGTGCTCGTCTTTGTGCTCTGTTTTATTAAAATACGTGGAGTTTTGAAAGTTAGGCATGTAGTAAGGGGCATTGGGCAGGGATGGGGTGTCCAGGACTCCTTAGCTGGGCTTGACCTAAATATATAGTTGTATAATAACAAGAGCAGCTCCAAGCTCTGTATCGCTAAACCATAGCAAACCACCTCCAAAAACAGTTGTATGTCTTCCCTAGTCACGTGTGAACATTTTGCAGCCAGCGGACAACAGCTGCCGAGGATTGCCTAAGAAAGCTGCGAATCCACCTTTTCCGATGCAAGGCGCCTGCCTAGGGAGATGCATGGGAGGATTTTCTCCAGCTTCTCCTGCTTAAATGGCATCCATCCTTGTGTAGGGAGCTGTGCTCCTGGGGTGAAGGAAGGATCCTGCTGGGCTCCTCTTGGTTTGGAAAGAGGAGGCTGATATTTAAAAGCTGAGGAAGCAAAAGGATGTTTTTGTAGCTGGGGGTCAGCATAGGTGTTAGCTGGCAGTGGCTGGATGGCATGTGGGAGAGGTAAAGGGGAAATTGCAAATTCTTTTCCCATGGCGGTTGCTTTTAGGCAGGCGGTGTATATGTAAGCTAGCAAGTGAATAAAGCTGCCCTGCTCTTTCCGTGTGGGTACCTGTCCTGAGCAAACAGGCCGGTTTACGGGACTGCAGAGGTAGTTAAAAATTTATCGGGCTTTCCAGTGAAAGAGTAGATTTAAAACATAAGTTAATGACGGGATTTTTTAATTTGGTCTAATTATATACTTCCCTATATGGAGGTTTTAAAACCACAGATGCCATGAAATTTAGCTTGAGCCTGCAGGATCTAAACAGTTTGTCTCCCCGCTTATCTCTGTTTCAGAGAAATGGTTGAGAGGGGCTTTTGATTCTGCTGACTCAGATGCTTTAGCATCTCTGGACCACAGCTGCAGTCACACAGACCTGTGCTTGCGTGCCTGCGAGCGAGGCACGGGCAGCACTGTCTGGGCTGTGTTTGTGCACCAGGGATGCTGGCTGCGCAGAGCTGTTGGGAGCTGGGTGCAAGGATGAGCCCCAGCGTGGCTCTCGGAGCAATGAAGAAAAGCACTGACTTCCAGAGATGGACAGGCATCACTGGACTGTCATGTACAACAAATATCCCCAGAAGGGGACTAACCCAGTGCTTCTAAAATGAGATTTTTTTGTTGCTGTTGGTTTTTTGTTTGGTTGGTTTTGGTTGGTTTTGGTTTTTTTTTTTTAATGAATGAGTTCTTAGATATAGTTAATGCAAACATTTTCTGGTATATATGGCACTGAGCCTGGCTCTTTCCAGTGTCTACTAATGTCTAGCAAAAGTTATGATGACCTTCAAATAACTACTAAATGCTAATCTGATGTCTGTGTTGTGGTTTTTTTTTTTAGGTTGATTTTCATTTTAATACATACCAGTGAAGATGACACCAAAACATGAAAAACAAGTAAGTCACGTCTAAGCTTTAATAAAAAAGGATTCTAGTTTGCTGGTTGTGGATTGAATTTCATTAAGGTTCACATGAGCAAGAAAGATTGGTTGTATTCTTCATGCTTTTAACTGCCAAGCTACAGAATATTCTGGAGTGATGCAGTGCCAGTTCCTTCTGTTAAAATTTGATGGAAAAATCAAATATTCATTGGATCAGAGAGAAGGAGAGTAAGTGACTCTGTGCATAAGGAGCTCAGACACTGAGACAGGAGAGAAGGACTTGGATTTCAGTCTTCTCTCCATCAATCTTCAGGTATTTTGTAGGACATAATGGTTGGAGCTTGGTCTGAACTCTTGATTACCAGATGCATGGACCAGAAGAATCACACTTGCACATTCTCTTTTGCTCAGTCCCAATGAACGTTAAAAGTTTCAACAATTTTTTTTGTCTCGGCTGTTAGTCTCTTATCAGCCTTACTACTCAGCATGTGTGGAGTGAAGATGCCAACACTCCCAGTGTGAAAAGCCCCATGTCCTTTGTGGTTGATCCTTTTACTAATAGGCAACCTGATGGGAAACTCTATTTTTCTCAGAAGCTTTGTGGAAAATGACTCTTTAGGGGTTATTGAGTAATCAGATGTGTAACAGTGGCACCATGGAGCATGAGGTTATCACCTGATACAGTCCTGAGCACAGAGATTTGAATTAAAATGCAGCTGGAATGATTAAGGCAAATAATCATCTAATGCAAGATTATTTTTATTCCTCCTCCTTGTGGTATATTTTTTCCTTGTATTAAAAATAGATGTTTCCATGTCAGATTCCCTATTTCCTAACAGGAAAATGTTAAAAAGACTTCTCAGAAACACAGTTTTTGTGGTCAAATTCTATACAGTAGAGCTTCTGGCTTATCCTTGTGTCCAAGCAATCCATTGCATTGTGCAGAAGTATTTCCAGCAGGAGAAAGGAGGTGGGGAAAGGAGGGAAAAAAAAAAAAAATACTTCTTGTGTTTGCTTCAGCTGCTTTTATGGTGTATTCTTCCTTTTGAGGCAAATCCAAATGGGAACATTTCAGTTTTCAGTGCTTGTGTCTACATAACCTCAGTGCTGCCCTTTTCCTCTGCTGTCAGCACTCATGTTATTTGCATAGGACTGTAACCATGAGGTGTCAACCAGGCTCAGGGGTCACTTTGGCCATTTTGTCATTTCTGTGTGACCCTAACTGCTTGGACTGCTCCAGGCCTTGAGGACAGGGTAGCAAAATGCCACCGATGCCATGCCTAAACTGGCTGCTTTAGCCAGGAATTAAAAGGCACATCCAGCCAGAGAAGCTGCTCTGCTGATTCCTCCTTGTTAAGTAGTTACGACTACTTTTGGGGCAGATTTGGAGTTCTTTCATGAGGGTGTGTCCTGGTTTAACCCCAGTCGGCAAGCCAGCACCACACAGCTGCTCGCTCATCCTCCCCTGCCGCTGGTGGGATGGGGGAGAGAATTGGAAGGGTGAAAGTAAGAAAACTCATGGGCTGAGATAACAGTTTAATAATTGAAATAAAATAATAAATTGTAATGAAAAGGAAAACAACAAAAGAGAGGAAGAGGAATAAAAACCACAAGTGATGTGGCCACTCGCCACCTACAGACTGATGCCCAGCCAGTCCCCAAGCAGTGATCGCTGCCCCCCAGCCAACTCCTCCCAGCTTATATATACCGAGCATGACGTCATATGGTATGGAATAGCCCTTTGGCCAGTTTGGGTCAGCTGTCCTGGCTATGCTGCCTCCCAGCTTCTTAAGCACCTCCTTGCTGGCTGAGTATGGGAAGCTGGAAAGTCCTTGACTTAGTATAAACACTGCTTAGCAACAACTAAAACATCACACTATTCTCATGCTAAATCCAAAACACAGCGCTATAGCAGCTACTAGGAAGAAAATTAACTCTATCCCAGCTGAAACCAGGACAGGATGTTTGGGCCAGCATGGCTGCTGGGATCCGTATCAAAGCTATGGCACTAGCAGTTTGGATAAGAAATGTTCTGCTTAGGAATTTAGCAGTTTCCAGGGAGAAGGAATAAATGGAGATGCCACTTTTTCCAGTAGCTTTCTGTTGGGTCAGTATTGTTTCCAGAGCAATAGGCTTCCATGACCAAGCCTGGACACTTTGAACTGTCAGCAGTAAGTTCTGGTTTTGAGAGAATTGTTGCAGTTAAGCGTTACAGGGCACATATTCTTGAACGCATGATAGACATGCATGTATGGTGCCCCTCAATTAAAAACAAAACACCAAAATGGAAATGGTATAATAGCTAGATCTGCAATTCTGGAAAAACCAAGCAGAACTGGGCGGGGGAGGAAGACACCTTGGAAAGGATTGCAGCTGACGAAAATAAAAAGTCCCTGAAACTTTGGCTTTCTTCAGGCTCTGCTTCCCAGGGGGTATGGCTGGACTGCAGTACGGTCTTGTGACAAAAGATGAAGTTAGTCTTCATGTGGGCCTCTTCAGGAGGAAGAGGTCAGCCTCACCTCCCCTAGGTGAACAGTGTGTTACTTGAAGATAGGCATGCCTATTGAGAGTGTCCTAATCTTTATAGCAAGAAGGGGAGGGAAGGGAGTATATACAGAGGGGAAAGGCAATTATTACCCAAAACTGCTGTAATCTGATGACTGTGCGTGACCATTGAACACAGGATGGACTGAGCATACAACAGCAATCTCCCAGAGGAATATTCTGGCACCTAACTCTGAACCCTAACATAGCCTATATGTGAATATTGGCCTTTACAAGCCTACTTTTATAGGGGCGGGGAGGCATAAGCACCTTTTCTGACAGTGTATCTGCATCTGTACTGGGCTGTTAGGGCCACTTTGATTAAATCAATATTGTTGTCCCAGCGGGGTCGTCTTGTATCCTGGAGAAGGCTTAAAGGTCAAAAGAGAAGGGGTAGTCTACATGTGCAATGCCACTGTTTCAGCGCAGCAGAAACTGTAACAGGAATTGGGATTAACGCTTCCTGGATTCAAGATGCTTATAGGGGAAGTAACCAGAGATCTTGAGAAAGGCTGTACATTTTTGTTTTTGTTTTCTAGTTGCTTAATGTTTATCTTGCTTCATTCTGAACTCATTATTGGTATTCTGTGGTAAATAAGGCGGGGGGGAGGGGGGGGAAGAGAAACACCCAGTCTTCTGCTGAAATCCTGGTGTTTCAAATCGGAGCTGACAGTGACTGTGTGCGAGGGCTGCGGTTTGCTGAGGTGCTCTGCTGTACCGCAGATCATTTTTAGTCTTGGCCCAGTGATGTACTGCCTGGACACCTGCCTGCCACAGCGTGTACAGCAGGTCTCTTTTCTTCTATAGGCAGAGTCTGAAAGGTGCTTGAATTCCTCAGCGTTGAAACTCCGTGACTATTTAATTGGAAATTAAAAGTGTACAGTTCTTTGTGTAAATCCTGTGGTCTGGAATGATTTGCAAGGTAACCTGTAGCCAACCCCCTGCATATCCAATAGTAACTTTTAATCATAATACTTTGGTATAATAGAGGTTGAAAGAAGCATTTTACTTTGAAGATTATTTTGATTCTGTACAAAGGAGAGGGTTATAGAAGGTTACTTGGAAATAAAGTAATCTGAGGAACCTGGACAAAAGAAAGGTCAATGAGAAGCCAGTACAGTGGTAGATGAGAGGAAGGGGACGGAGGTTAGGGTATCAGCAGGCTGCCTGCAGCTGGGACTGCCGGGCTGCAGCAGTTGAAGGGAAGAGGAGAGCAGTGTCCCGTTTGAAGCTTCCTGGCATTTTTCCTCTTCTTCCACTTGCAGGACAGATGCATTTAGTGCTCAGGAAAGAAAAAAAAGTACATTTAGGAGAAGTGGTTGCAGTTCTGGGGAAGAGTGGGACACAGGGAAATAGGAGGCTGGGGAAGACAAATACTTGGGAGAACGTAAGACTACGGATATGAAAAGATGTTACAGTGGGTCTGAAAGTATGCTATGTCTATATATGTATGCTAAATATGATAGGCAGTGAGGCCGGTGGAAAAAAACAACCAAAAAATTTTTTTCTCTCCTTCATTCAGCACATTGCTCAGGATCTGCTCAGGAGGGGGAGTAACTTCCTCATGTCTCCCACTACCGTTTTTGTAAAAGTAAAGGCATGACCCTCAGCTGGTAGGAGTGATTACAGCTCTGTTCATTTGTTCCTCTTGTGCCACGTTGGCATGGGGTTAAAAAGCTGCAGAGGAGAATCGGGCCTGCGGTGCTCTTCAGCAGGGAGAGAAGCGGCAGAGGTGGCGGGAGCCTTTCGAATGGGCTTTCTTTGGCAAGGTGCTCGTGACACGCACCAGAAGGGTATCCAGCAATAATGCAGAAAACACCTCTGTGACTCGGAGCTGGGCTAAGTGGGATAAAACTGTGGGCTGTATCCAGCCGTCAGGCCGCAGGCTCCCCATACCTGAAGCGGTACGGCCTGGAAATCAGAGTAGTAAATGATTTAATCCAGACCGTGAACACCTCCCTGCCATGTACAGAGTGCAATGACTATTCAGGCACAAATATATCTTTTCCTTTCAAGGTTGTCGTTGTTCTCCTGTCGGTCCGTTGAAGGTTGCTGCTGGCAGCATGTTGAAGTGTGTGTGGTGGGGGGAGAAGACTTGGCTGAAGAGTAAAGGTTTTATTTCTGACATCTGTGGTTTGGGCATGGAGAGACACATTTTGAGAGCTTTCTGGTTCAAGATTTCTTGGTTTATGCAAAGACGTACTAAAAAAGCATGTTATTTACCAGAGATGCTGTCCGTCCTCCCACGGTTGATTTCTGTGCCTGGAGATCTTGCGCAGTACCTTCCTCTCAGGGGGAATGTATCTACAGCTTAAAATGATATGCTTTTCTTTAGCTGAGTCATTGTTTAAGTGGTTGGCTTAGCTCTTTGGGTGAATAGCTTATTTAAGCAACTGAAGTAGGGCAGCCTATTCGTTTGCTCAGGAAATAGCGGGTAGTTCAGCACAATGTCAACCTTTGTATTTTAAAGAAACCTTTTCTATCTTATTGTGAACATACAGATTTAGCAGGCTTTTTTGGGGGTTTTTTTGGTGTTTTTGTTGTGGTTTTTTTTTTTTTTGGAAAAACAGAGTACAAGTTTTCACATGGTTGTTAGCTGAGGATACTCAGAAGTGTTTAATTCTTCAGCCTCTTCAAATTCCTATTAGTGATGCCCAGTTACATTACAGTAATGCCCACAGGCCTCACACTTCTTCGGCATCCCTCTAAATTATTATATAAATGTAGAAATTACAAGGAAATAGACTAGATGTACTAGATGTGACAACTTCTACAACAAATACTCTACTGTTGTCCCCTGAAAATGAGGAATTATGCTCTGCAGTGCAGCTGTGTTGCTTCCTTGGGCAGGTTGATGGGCAGACTGGGACAGAAGTGTCCAGGTCCTGCATCCTCAGCTGTACTCTGTGGCTTAAGTTCCTGGTGTAATAGGAAGGATACGCAGGAGAACGGGGGGATTCATCTCCTTCCACATGGTATCCGGGACACTGAGCTTGAGACCTTGATTCCCTGTGTCAAATCTGTGTCCAGGACAATTAATAGTGGTACATCCTTTTTCACTGGGCTGAAGCAAGTCATTTGGGGCATAGAAAAAAGGCGGTTCTTCAGCTCCTCGTGGAGATACCAAGCACGCTTACCTCAGATCCTTGAAATCGATGGGTATAAATACTTGATTTAAAAAAATATAGATAAAATGGCAAAAAGAAATTTAGGAGCAAATAAAATGTTATATGTAAGTATTGGGTACCTGGAGCAGGTTCATAACACATTCTCTGTGAATATTGGTTACAAGGGTGGGAAAAGCCTAAAATACCTGCCTAATTCTCTCTTACATGTGTGACTTTGAATGTTAGGTTTTTAGTTTGTAGCTACTGAGATCACCAAATCTCCCATGCAAGAAACATGTATGACTCTTCACAGTATTACTTAATCTGAAATATTCCTTTTCAGCTAGCAATTTGGCAAGGAATTTCCCAGACATGTGGTGTAGCTCAGATGATTCATTGCTTTTTGCTTCTCCTTTTATAGGGTTGCAAAATTCAATAAAACAGCAGTTCAGCTTTTAATCTGAGCACAGTAGTTTTTGGAACAGCAGAGAAATCAAGAGAGTCTTTCAGACTGCCTTTGTCTTCCAAAATTAATTGCTTGATTTTTTTTTTATTATGCACTTGCAGGAATTTGTAACTGTCTTGGTGCGAGACCCCAGGACACAGAAAGAAGACTCATGGCATTCTTACATAGACTATGAGATATTTATTCACGTAAGTATAAAAATATAAGCACAGATTCTTTGGGCTCTTATTGCTGTTTCTGTCCAAGCCAGAGTTCTCTTTGGGGTATTAGCGGAATTTCTTTACGCCACTTCTGGGAGGCTGGGGGATATTATTCTCCTTTTAACAACTGAGATGCAATGGAATAGGTAAGGTGCGTTGGCCAAAGGCCGTGTAGTAGGTCTGGCAGAGCTGGGAGTTGAAGCTGGTATTGTGTTCACGTGTGCACTCCACAATGTCTTGCAACAGAGACTATTCTTAGCTTTACTTATCAACTAGAAGACTGTCATAGTCAGTGATGTCTTACCATTATAGAAGAATTTTGATGTTCAGGTATTCATGGGAAAACAACTTTCTTTTCGAGTAATTATCTGGTTATTTGTACTTTAAATTCTCCTCATTCTTTTTGCCAAGTTATTTGGTTGCTGCAATGTGGTTGTTTTCAGAGTACCGTGACATTCATATTATGCTAGTTTAGTGGCGCTTGGATATGTCAAGTAACTACATTTGGGTTTATGATTGTAGTCTACCATATGTTAATGGGAGTGCACTTAGAATTATGGTTCTCATGTGTCTTAAATCTGTCCTATACATCATTTTGTTTTGTTGATTATTATTCTGTGGTGGATGACGTACAGAAGGAGTTATCCTAATCTCCCAAAGCTACATCCAGGGGGTTTAATTGCAACATGAAAAAAAATCTTTGTGAAGTGTATCTGCTATCAGGTGAAGAATTAGAGAGCACCGAGTTACATGGTTAATGCTTGGCACAAGACCGAAAACATTTCCTTCCTGCGTGGGAGAGTTAAGCATGCAGCGTAATGAGAGCAAGCAGTCAAATGATGGCTTATTAAATGTCTCTCGTGACAAGTACTTCTCTCTTGTGTGGCAATAAGAGCTATAAAACATTTACATTTTGCAATGTGGTTTAAGTACTGGTTCCAAAGCAATTATATTTTTGACTTCTGGTAAATAGAAATTCTGTAGATTTGCAGGGCGGGTGCTGTATTACTGTTTCACAGGCATCAGTGCTTTTGAATAGAAGCATATTACTGGCTTTCTCAGCGATTACTGAGTTGGGGTGGTGTCATTTAGACCCAGTGTTAGATGATTCAGCACCAGGCATCTTTGAAGCTGATAAGCATCAGCTCAGCTTCCTACCAGCATAATGCCAGGGCTTTCAGAGACCAAGTCTCTAGATCAGTCCTGCCATCCAGGCTTCTCAATGGATTCAAAATCTTGGGTCTGCCAGGCTCTTAGACCAGCTGGGTTCCCCTTCTGCCCAGCTCCTAGAGCATCTGGCTTCTTAAACTGTGAGTTATCCCAGATACTCATCTATTCCAGAAAGCTGGCGTCTTTGGGCCCGCTACGATCTACATCATGTGGCTGTCTAGGAGTTGTGGCTCCTGGCAGGTGATTGATGGTGGATTGGACTGCAGGCAGATTTATAGTGGAGTCCTGTCTGGTAGATGGGGTTTCATCTAAATGTATGCTCCACAGGAAAAATTGGCAAAAGTATTTAATTTCTGTGAATTGTTTTTCTTTTGATGAATTGGCATTTTTCTAGTGGACCAATAGTGTTCTGTGGGAAAATTTCCAAATGCTGCTACTTGTGGAGAGCAGTCACATCGGTTTCTTTGATTTGATTTAAGTAGGATTGCACGCTGGAAGAACTCTATGTAGCTAACTGTTTGCAGGATTATAACTAGAATAGCTAAACGTGACTTTTTTCCCTGCAAGGATTGGCATTATCTGCTGAAACTTTTTTCTGAGATCTTTTTTTCCTGTTACTTCAAGTTGTACCGTAATCCAGATCTCTTGCTTTTAAAAAGAAAAAAAATCAATGAAAAATATTTCCCTGCGAAGCTGTAGAAACTGTCACCAGTCCTGTCTGAGATAAAGCACAGTCCTTAACCTACACCGAATTAATGTCAAGCTTTCCATTGGTGTCTCAGGGATTAGCATCTCGGATGTTTTTTTAACACCATGCCAGCACTTCAGCTTAAGCTGATTTTTACAAAGTAAAATGGTTTTTATTTCCCAACAGACAAACAGTATGTGCTTTACAAGGAAAACATCCTGTGTTAGACGACGCTTTCGAGAATTTGTTTGGCTTCGGCAGAGGCTTCAGAGCAACGCAGTGCTTATGTGAGCAACTTTATATATGGCTATTTAATAATCTGTCAATCATGGAAGGGGAGGGGTGTTTCATCTTAATTCTGAGAATTAGAGAAATCAGAGCTGGAAAGTGTCCTGTGTTTCTTACTAGCACAAGTTCATTCTGTACAAGGCATGTTCTTTACTTTAAACCCAGAAGAATGTGGTTCGTACTGATAGCCTTTGTTTGGTGAGCCCCCTTCTAATTCGTAACAGATTTGATCTGTGTTTCCTTTTGCTATGCACAGGTAGCAGAAATAGCAGTCTAGTGTAGGTGTACGTACCTCTGCGCTTTTAGGATGTCCTTAAGTTCTGCAAGGACCATAAGAGACCCAGCCAGACATACATGCAGGCTTAACAACTGGACCAGAAAAATGAGATTAATTTATTTTTCCCTTTGAGGTGTGCAAGAAGCCTTCCAATTTCTCAACCTTGTGTTCCCAAATTCGATTTCATGAGCTTCTGGAGCATGATCCGTGATTTTCACATGCTCAGGGTTGGCATTTGTGTATTGCATTCTTTTCTGCTGTTTCAGATTTGGTTTTAACTGTATATTTGCTTCTTGTTTATAAAGACAGCTACCTGAACTGCCATCTAAAACGCCCTTTTTCAACATGAACAATCCTCATCACGTGGACCATCGCCGGCAGGGTCTGCAAGAATTCCTGGAAAAGTAAGTACAGCCTATCCTAGAGATGCTGGCATTTGTATGATGTCATCAGTTTTCTGGTTTAAACTAGCTCATCTCTGGTACTTGAGAGCCACCATGTGGTCATCTGTACATGTTACACATTTGGTTTTATTTTTTATTTGCACAGTCATATTTCATACACGTGACTTCAGCTCTATTGGTTATAAGGAAACTTCAACGGGGGCTTTTCCATTGTGTTTCATTGCATTGGTTTTAAATAATAGTTCTGGGTTTATGTTACTTTGCAGTTGTATACTAAGGTTGGGAGATCTTTCACTGTGATGTCTATTTCTAGCTTTCAAGAATGAGCTAGATATTCGCATACAAAGAAACAGACTTCTCTCCCTCTTTATGTTCATGGAAAATCAGTGTCTTTGTGGGCTAAACCCCTGGGAGCCTGGGAAAATTCTGTGGCAAGATCTCCTAACACAGATATTTCTTATAATGCCAATTACTTTGTTTACCAGTTCCACTAACATAAATAAGCTCTAGCAGCTGTGACCATTTTCAGTACAGCTGCTGTCTGTATAAAATCATTCATCAGACTTAGCTAGAGCCTGACCTGTGTTACAAGGGAGCTCTGTATGAGTTTTAGTACTGCATCCCTCAGTCCCGCTGCTGTAACCACTTCACCTTCTGTAGTGGCAGAGACCCTGTTGGTGTAATTTTCTGCTTTCTCTGCCATTCTCGTAATACCCTGGCACTGCTGGTGTGAGAGCAGGCTGCTCACAGCTGCTGGGGCAGGAATTGTGCATACATTTGCAGGCTCTCTTTAGCTGCTGCTCGGGGTAAGGGCATGGTAAAACACTGTGAGTAGAGACTATTTATCTTTTTTAGTATCAGTGTTTCCATGAATCAGAACTGCCTGAGCAAAGGAAAAAAGCAAATCATTTAAGTAGGCTTTAAGCCTTGTGGTCAGTGGGTAGAGGAACACTGGACCCACTGTTTTTCCAATCAGTGTATTATAATTGTAAGCCTTCCTAACAGACACCAAATCATTGGTCCTCAGGTTGGGCTTAACAGCTGAAGGCAGGGAGAGCTAACTGCTGCAGGAATTATATTATGTATACAGTTATGTAGGATCTGTGACTAAAAGGATAGCCAATAAATACTGGTTGTAGGTGTGTGAGACAGGGAAGGGAAAGCAGAAAAGGATCAGAAGGTTGGTTTGGTTTTTTTTTTCTGCACCTCAGGAAAGAATAATGGTGAAATAGTGACTATGCTTCTAGAGGTGATAATATTAGTGGTCATACGAAGGGTGTGGTAGTTCAGGTCCCTAGGTCTGAGCAGTTCTAGCTTAGCTGTGCTGCCCCATGGAGCAGTGCCTTTCCAAAATCAGTCTCATTTTAAAATGGCAAAGAGGCCAATCTGGTAACAAGGTATACAGTATTTCAGCATCAAAAATATTTACAACCACTGTCTGTGCTTCAGAAGTCAAAACAGAGAGGTAGATTCTCTTAAAACACATCCTCGCTCTCCAATTTTGTGGATGTCTGCAGCTTAAATGGCTACTGACAGCAGAAAATGGCAGCATGTGGAGCGTTTCACCTTGCTGCTGTTAATTCAGGAGTGGGAAAAGAGGCATCTCTGTTGTAAGGTAATGATTTAAATGTTTGAACTTGGATGCTGTTTAGAAAGGTGTCAGCTTTCTTTCAGCCCTGGGGAATCGTTGGAAGGAATTTTCAGAGATAGAGTCGTGTTGTGATGAATTGGCTTGGCACCTGAGGTGCTGTACCATTGCCCTCTGCTGGCTGCCACCTCGCTGCTGCTGCTGCCTGCAGAAGGCATCTTTTTACTGGCTCAGCTGGCCTGCCATGGTGCGCTTTTTTGGTTTTTCCTTCCCTTTTTTTTATGAGTCTGAAGCAAAGGTTATGATTTCTTTCTCTGAAATTGCATTTTTGGGCCTCATCAGCGTGTGTGCGTATGTATATAGATATATAGACATATACATACACACACACACATGCTTGGCATTAGTAAAGCTCTAGGTCTGGATGCTGCATGTTCTGTAGTGTGGCAATTCCAGGGGAAGCGGGAGCTCTCTGGTATATTAGGAAGGGGGTGGGAAAGGAACCAGAAAGTAGTTGCGTGGGGTGGCGTAACCCAGAACTGCAAAGCCGAGTGCTCCGTTCACCCTGGCAATGATGGCAGTCACCGTGCACAAGCTCACAGCCCCACTGGGGTTTCTTTGTGACACTGGGAAGAAATGGGATTTGAGCCTATGTGGACCTGTCAGGGAGAGGTTCGCAGGTAACATTTTTCATATGCCCACATGTGATGCAGGACCCCGAGCTCCTCTCTGCACTCAGTGCCTTGTGAGGTTATCAGGATCCAAGTCATCTCCGAAATGGCGTTTAGATCTCTCACAGCCTCAGTTTGTGCCCTGTGCCCGTTGCTGTGTGAGCAGGTTGCTGCTGCCTCTGCCCAGACAGGAGCCACGTGCCTGAGGAGTGGGGATCGAGTGGCTGTAGGCTCTCTCGTGTTCAGCTCCTGGCCCTGGGAGTTCCTCCATGTTGCCTGTATGTGGACAGCTATGGAGTTCTCTTGTCCTGCACGCCTTGCTCCAGAATGAGTTAGCTCGAGGCAAGGTGCTTACTTAGGCCCTTTGTGAAACCTCTCCGTGGTCGGCACGGTAGCATGAGAATTAGGCCAAGAGCTGGAAACTGCAGCCAAGCACTAGAGTTTGGTGAGATCTAGAAACGGCTGTCCCATTTTGGTTTGGCTTTACTGCACAAATGCAGGGTAAGACCTGCTTGTCTTATAGGTTATTATCTCTGAGTGATGAAGAGCTGTAAAGCTCACTTCTTGTCTGGGCATAATTTAATATTTCAAGAGGCCATTTGCATTAACGGAAGTCAGCTAGCCCCTTTTCAATTATGAATTACATCGTAAGAATAAGGAAAATTATGTGTTTTTCCTGGTAAGTATCCTCATACCTTTGAAGACATCTGTAAATTCACAGGAAAAGCCTATTCTTAAATTGGAGGTCAAAATTAAAACACTGTCATATCATATTAGGTTCTGTAAGATCCTCCTTCCTTTCATCCCTTTTTTAGCTGCACAGGTTTAACTTTAGGATTTAGATTACCTTCAGAGAAGATCATCCATGCTTGCTTATTAGAAAGCTAATTAACAAAACAGTTTTAAATGAAGTTGGGTTCAATCACTGACATTTTTTCACTGAATACAATTGGATCCCAAAAAATTATGTGGTTTAGGAAAAAGGACTATTCTTCAATTACTTTTCAAACATGCAGTTTATGATGGGGTGGAAGACATACTAGGAATTTTGAGAAATGCAGTGCTCGGATCCACAGGAGACGAAGGGCATCCACAGTGTCGCTGCTCTGGATGGCTGTGCATCGGGCTCACTTGGTGCCAAACAAGCCACCCAAAACTCGGCTGCCTGAGGCAGAGCCGTTCTCCGGAGGTGGCTGGGGTTTTGCCCTCCTCCTCACACCTCCTTACCTTCCCCACCGCAGTCCCACGAGCAGGAGCTGGTGGAGGGTTGGAGGGCTCCCTCCTGGAGGTGTCTCCACTGGGCGCTCTCTCAGGGATGCGGAAGGCGGGAGACTGGCTCCAAAGGGGATGGATGCCAGCTTGCCAGGGCTCGGGCTGGAGCGTCGGCGGCCGTGGGGCAGGTGGGATCTCCTCGGGCACATGGTGGCTCTCTTTCCCATGGAGCCTTGCTAATATTTCCTATCTGCTGAGTGAATAATGCCTAGCAGGCGCATGTCGCTTAATCCTTTCTTAAACATGTGCATTATCAGATGCCCAACAGTTGCTTTGCAGTTGCTCGCTCTCAGTAACATTTCCTCCCTTACCAAAAGCGAAGGAGGAAGCACAGTCGGCTCTTTTTAAGAGGAAACTGGGGCTTTGTTTGCTGTGGGCCGGGGCGAGGGGCTGAGGGGCTGGATGCTCAACAGAGGGCACCACAGCACAGGCTGTCACCCCCCGCCTCCCAGCTCCTGGGGTTTTTATTTTTTTTTTTCTTCCCCTTGCTCTGATGATATGATGTAAACGGGCAGAGTAAATTTGTCGAAAACAAAATCGGAGTGTTAACCTTCCACACACATGCAAGTGTGCATCTGTCATTGTATTAGGTTACAGTAGATACAGGAAATCTTTAGTTAGGATTAAGTTGTACTGTTCAGCCATATGTTGTTCTCCTCCAGCAGAACAGTGTATAATATACCTAATAAAATCATGTTGAAGAAAACCAGATTTTGGACCTTGTCCAGATAAGACAAAGCACATGTTTTGTCTTTTGTAAATGTTCTTGCCATAACACGGGGAAGGAGAAAGATTTTTCATATAGTATCCAACATTTCCTCAAAAATTATTTCTTTTGGTTGTAAAGTGATGTTTTTCAGCCCTGCTTCTTTAAAGGTCTAGAGATCGCAAGCATTTACTGAAAGCTTACAAACAAAGATTCACATGGCCGTGAATAAAAAATGATTTTATTATCTCTAATTCAAATGTAGAGCCTTATCCTGCAGCCCCCTTAATCACATAAGTAGTCATTATGCATGTGAGCAATCTGGCCGAGAGGAGTGAGATCTCTGACAAGTAATGACTACTGATGGGATCAAGACTTGCAGGATTTAGCCTTTCGTTCTTATTCCACGCGTGCATAGAAAGTCTGTTGTTCTCTTAAATATGCCCGGTCAGTTTATAGGAATTATCACCGTGAGCCATGACTCTTCCATTAGCGCGACAGCAGCGAGAGCTGATTTACATCGCTGTAACTGCAGCTTTGCACTGACGCTGGCTGTAATAAAACTGTTTGAGAAGGACCGGGAGTGCTACTGGTTGTGTTCAAACCGCGCACGCGTTCAGCCTCTGCTAAGACACCCGAGTATTAATATTATGACACTCCGCCTTTCCTCTTGCCTTTTTAATTTGTTAGGTTGTGGCGTGTAATTTTAATTTTTTTTTTTTAAAGTCCTTGGAGCCAAATCTATTTTTTAGATGTACAGCCCTTCACACATTGAGTCCCCAGGACAGCAAAAGCCCTGGAGAGCAACTGCTATACCAACACTTAATACTACTAGTAACATCTGGTGACAAATGTATGGTTATTTCCTTGAAGAAAGAGTATTTTGAACAGGAAAGAATAACGCTTATAGATAGCACAGAATTTACTTTTCATTTTGATTGCTTGAAGGATGCAATTAAAAAGCAATCTAACCTGTTGGTTCAGATCGGGGGGGAAAGCAGAACTTATTTTTTAATTAAAAGAAAGAAAAAATGCTACAAGGGTATGACTGGGTGAAAGGTGTTCATATATTTGCTTTCAGGATGGTTTTAAATGGCTTGCAAAATGCGTCGAGTGTTTGGTCCCTTCCCCCTTGTGAACATATATATATATATTTATTTTTATATATATATATATATATATGTATTTAGGTTTTTGTCCATCTTTCCATCTTTCCATTTTGTCTTCTTTTTATTTCTTTCCTCTAAAGGTGTTCATATATTTGCTTTCAGGATGGTTTTAAATGGCTTGCAAAATGCGTCGAGTGTTTGGTCCCTTCCCCCTTGTGAACATATATATATATATTTATTTTTATATATATATATATATATATATATATATGTGATTAGCTTTATGTACATCTTTCCATTTCTTCACCTTGGTTTCTCTTCACTCCTTTCACCTCCAGATGGCACTATGAAGCAGAAAAGAAAATTACTGTGAAATAATGAGTCCAATGTAAAGTAAAATTGGAAATTGAATTATAGCTGCAGAAAAAGGACAGTAGCCTTGAGGTCCTGATCAGTCTGTACTCTTATCACTTTTGTTTGCTGTTCCATGTGTTAGGTTACTGCCGAGTTAATAACAGTGCTTTAGCAGTTCAAGGCTTAGCAGAATTGTACTGGACGTGAAATAAAGCTAAAATGAATTTGTGTCCAATATCATTGACATTAGCGCTCATTACTTCTCTGGTGTAATGCCTCAAACCATCTAAAATCAATTTTAAAGATTACCCATTATTTTATAAAGAAAATAAAATACATTTCAAACAGCAACAGAGCTGTAAGTGTAGTGTAATCTCATGAACAGTTAGTTACTTGTGTTTTTGCTGGTTGGCAGGAAACTTTTGAAGGTACGGCAAGAGGAAAAATCTGTGAAACTAAATGCCATCCACAGAATTTAATGTCTTGGCTCTTTGCTGGGTTACTTGGTATTAGACACGCAAATGATAGAATTGCAGAAATGTGCATCCCCTCATTGTGCTCGTAAGCCTGGGAAAAACAGTAACTCTAGTTACTCTACAGTAAACTCCAGCATGTTGGTTTTTTTTTTTTTTTTTTTTTTTTTTTTTCTTTCTTAAGAGGAAGAAAAGAGGAAGGAGGATGTTTACTCCCCCAGTTCCATGAACTATAAACGTGGATTTATTGTGAGGAATGATACTTTTTCTTTTACTTTTTGTTGCAATGTTTGTCTTTGTTTGGAACGCGTGTTTATCAAGAGTCAAGGCTGAAACCCTCTTTTAGTGGCCGCTGAATGATGGCTTTTCAAACTGTATTCACGAAGTTGTTGCTGTCAAGGTGTGTAGACCTGTAAATTCTGTGTTTTGAATCATTTTACACAGCATTTGCTGGCTTCCTTTAGAGTACGAAGTTGTTTTTCTGTATATTAATACACTGCGTGCATTGATTTTACAGATGTTTATTTGCTATGTTTATTTTTAAGGAAAATTGCGAGAATTGAGATTGGATTAAAAAGGCTTTCTCTAGGTATGAAAGTGTGCTTATTTTGAACTGCAGTGAAATCTGGTCCGTCTGAGACTGAATTTCAAATGCACCTGGTAGATCATTAGGGTCATTGCAGACATTTCCTCATTGGAAGGTGTCAAAGTTTGAGTTATTTGGTTGAGGCTATGTGTGTGTTTACCTAGGCAAATGAAATGTGCACGTACACAAATACCCTGCATTTTCAGTTAGATATCTCTTATTACTTATTTTGATTTGACAGATTTTTATAGGCTTAGATGAAGCCAGAAATCCTTTAGTGTATTTATTAAACATTATTGTAATGTTGGCCACTTTAGAGAACAGTTTTCAGAACGTATTTGTGCGTTAAAACATTACAGTCCAAACACACCATTAATCTTATTTGAGAGAAGGAACTAATCAGTTATACTTTTCATTTTAGTCAGAGTACCTATAGAATGCAATATTTCTTTCTGCTCTTACTACTTCTTACATTAATGTCATCTCTTGTTTCCTGTTGCATAGCAATGACTTTCTTGGTAACGACTGTAACCTAAATGGGTAGAAATAGGTAAATACTGACTTGTAATAGGTTTGATTTCTTTAAAGATATTTTAATAATTTTCTGTGGAGCACCGTTTGGCATGGTCGTGGGCTCTGATGACTTTATTACATGACTAAAATTACATGTACATATTTAAAAAATCTCTTGTTAATCATTCTAGGATTTGTGTATTAAAGAATTCCTTCTTTAGAGAAATGTTGCAGCAAAGTTGCATTTTTTTTTTTCCCCAAAAATACTAATGATGATCCTCAATTCTCAGTCCTTGTAAAAGTATCTCTACAACTTTCTGTGTTACTGGAATGCATTATATTTTGTTTACTCTCACTTGGTGTAAGTAAATACTCTGTGCTAAATTTATTTGAAGACTTAATTTAAAATACATATAAACCAAGATTAAAATGGACTTTTGAAAACAATAGCTGGAATGAAATAGTATTTAAGATTCCCTGAAAACTGTTTGCAAGTAAATTTAAATCTGTGTTCAGTATTAGCGTTTTCATTCTAGCTTAAATGTACGCAGATTTGTAAAAGTGTAAATGATTTTGGCTAGTGTTGGCTCTGTTGTTTACAGGTATTTCAAAGTCCTGACACTGTGTGTGTATGAAGTCCTGTCTCTGTACACACTTCTTTCCCTCACCGAAGAAATTAGTGACTTGTAATTTTTAGAAAAGCTTAGCTATTAAAAAAGAAAAATCTCTCAAATGGAGACCAAATTTTCATAAGAGTATATGCCTCCAACTGCCTAAAAATCAGTAATTGATCCATGTGGTAATAACAGATGGTTAAATGGGAGAAATGTCCTTGAAGTTATTCTAATAGCAGATGTGCCTAACTATTAGCTTCATGTTTTTACTCACCTAAAATTCCAAATAATGTAATAAGTAAGTAACACACACCTAATCATTTTAATATGTTCATTACCTTCTGTTACTGATTTAGGATTCATCTGAAAACTTAAAAGTAGGACATCATTTAGAATTTGTTCTGGTAAAACGCTTCAGAATACATGCGTATGTGCATCTATATAAAAACATTTGACTTCTTTTCTTTTTCCAGGATCCTACAAGATGCGTTATTGCTTTCAGACAGTAGGCTTCACCTCTTCTTACAGACTCAGCTAAGCCCAGAAGATATGGAGGCTTGCGTATCTGGACAGACCAAATACTCTGTTGCTGATGCGATTCATAAGTTCGCCTCTTTGAACAGACGCTTTCCTATAGAAGATGAAGAGAGAAAAAAAGGAAAAAACGATGCGGACTCTGATTCAGAGAGGTGATTTCTGTATTTCCTTACTTTCTGAGATTATATATATATATATATATATACACACACACATACATGCGCACATGCTTCACTTTTTTGTTGATGTAATACTAAGATAATGAAAAAATTAATTGACTGAGATTTTATTGAGCTGTGACAGCTCATCATAGAAGTCTTCACACACACCTCCACACTGAATTAATGAATGCAGTAGAAATTCAATTATCTGCATTCTGATTATGTGAATTTCATTTAGTCAGACTTGAATTATTCGCGTTTAAATTATCTTGCTAAAAAAATATCCAACTGCACTCCAAATGGCTAATTAAAAGTCCAAATTTCCTGTCTCTCTTTGTGACTGGAGATAATTAAAGTTCTCCTCTGTTACTCAGGCTTTGAGTGTGTTGTGAAAACCAATTTCCTCCTTTTATTTTTTTTTTTTTTTCCTCTCCCCTTTTCTGCAGTTCATCCTCCGGGCTCAGACCTAGTGATGACAGCATTTCATGTGGATGTAAAGCAAGCCCAGCTTCTGAAGAATCATGAAAAATCATTCCTGTATTGCTATCTTAAGGACAGTACAAAGCAGTTTCTGCTCTATTTACTGGTTACGTGTGCCACACAAACGCGGCTGGCTGCTAACACGTACCTAAAAGACGCGTCATCAATACAACCACATGTCCTTAAAAAAAATTTCCGAACAGACCTTGATACTATTTCTTTGTCGATTTACTATGTATGTTGATTCAGGTTTACACGCTGCCTATTACATTTAGGGTTTTGTGACTGTTAAAATCTCAGTATTGGGCGAGTCATGCTCTGCTGATATATGTGGCAGTTAAAATACTTCCCTGAGTGAGTGCATGTCTCGGATCTGAAAAATAAAGATAACTTAATTCCTCAGCTTAAAAGTTGGTATATCATATCAAATATATTCAAAGCATCTTTTTGTAATTTGCATCAGAGAAGTTTAATCTTTAGGAGTCATTTGACATTGGTGATGAAATTACATACCCCACAAGGTATTCACTTTTTAAAGTAGCTCAGCAACATCAGCAAAACAACATTTGTACAAACTATATGCTGCTGACAATTTGAGATATAAATATCTCTTCCTCTGGTCTTTCTGTAATGTTTATGGAAAGCTTGGTTTTATCATGCATAAGAACTGAAGGCCAAAATTCTTGAGCATGGTTGCTTAGAAGTTAGAAATATTAATAAAAATGACATCATTTCGAGGCTTGCTGGAGATTCTCAGTTCCCAGGGAATTACGGATACTCATTCCCAGTGAAAATCCTGCATGAGGTCCATTGAAACCAAAGGCTGAATTTTGCATCGACCTCGCTAGGGCCAAGATTTCACCCAGCGCGTTTAACTTTAGGCACTTATATTTGAAGACGCCAGGAGCGATGTTTTAGTTTAGCAGCTTAAATGGAGAGGATCTCCCTCTCCAAAATGATGATAATCACATAGCTATAACACACGGTACGGACATGGACCTCCCCACTCTTTGGGAGTAAGAGGAGCTGCTGATTTCATTGTGGCTGTAGTTAACATGTTGAAATATTGACTCTTTTCACAAACAAAAGGCAGGCTTGAACACAATTTCGTAACCACCAACACTTATTTTGATTAAACGTCAGTTTTGCTCTTTATTGTTAACAGCAGCTGCGTAGTGTCTTGTCCCAGATTCTGTCAAAGGAGTATGTTTCACTGTGGTGTTGTATTTATATTTGACATTTAACTGCTATTAAAAAGAGCTAGGGGGTCTGATCACCCTAGCAAAGCTCCCATTAACTTCAGTGCTGTAGTTACTGGCCTAGAAATGGATATGTATGTGTGTGTATATATATATTTTTTTAAGAATTCTGTGGATACTTTCAAAGAAGGAGCATTTTAAACCTATGAATTACAGAAACAATAGATTATTAAATGGCCAGATAATAAAAGTTTAGCATAGGCGTGTGTGGGCATGCTTTTTTTAAAGCATCCAGCTGGGAATCTGTGTAATTTTAGAAACATGCTTTAATAGCCTGAGGATAACATCTCTTAGGTAACTACTTTAAGCCACTGGTTTTTGTTGATGGTAGCACTTTTATAAGATAAATATCCGTGTTTCTTTTTGCTTGGTCTTACTGAATTGCACAAATGTATCTATTCACCTTCTCAACTTGTGTGTGAGTTAGCAGCAAAGCTACTGTAATGTAAAAGTGATAACATTTAATTAAAGCAACAAGTTATCACTCAAAGTAGCTTAAAAATAGCTGTTATTGCCAGGCAGAGATGTTTGATTACTTGGCTTTTTTTTTTTTTTGAGATGGCACATTACAAGAAAAATTGTTTAGCAAATTTATTTAAAAGATGGGGAAAATATAAAAGCAAAAACTGGAATAATGTCTGAGAAACATATTAATGTTTTTATTTAACACAGTGTTACGGTAGTGGTTTTTGGTTTTGTTTTAAAAGATTGATCTAAACTGTTGAAGCACTTCACAATTCTGGCCTGCTAACACGTCCTCAATATCTGACAAAAATTACAGAAATATAAGGTTTGGAGAGCCTTTATGGCTATTTTTTAATTCTAGGAGCTTATCTGTATGCCAGTGAGTGCTTTGCAAATGAAGATGTTTCCGAAATAAATACATACTTGTTTTCTAATAGTTCTACTGTTGTTATTTTCTTCATCACCCTGTTCAAAAATTCAAAGACTGCTATAATAGAACTTTTGTCCTGGCTTTGACAGAAATTTGTTTAAATATTTACCTTTTGAATGATGTTTGTATAGCTGGTATTACTGGAATTTTTCTTATTAAAGGGGAAGGAAAAGTATTCTGTGCTCTAGTATGTCTTCTTTTTGTATCAGCTGTATGTAACTGCATATAAATGCTTTAAGACATTTTATTTAATTTGGAACATTTCAATGTAACGGTTACAAATTTAAATGTAAACAAATATTTTTAATGTCTTTTGTGACTTCAATGATTCAGTGATTTTTCAACACTGTGTAATATATTTTGATTCAGTTGATCACTGGTATTTTAATTCTGATCTTTTACTTTCGAATAATGCTGACATTTCCTGCTATTTTTTTTAAACAGGCTAATATCTTGTTTATAATACCATCTAATTAATACTGCTAATTTATATCTAGTTGCAATAATTCTGCACTTAAAAACTTCTCTTTATCTTTTGCTTAGAACTTTATTTTCTCATTTTTATGATGATTTCTTAAAAGCTTTTAAGTAGTTAGAAAGTCGTAACTTGTTTTATTTATCTTGTGTTTAAACCTGCCAGTAAGGTTTCCTTTATTTCAATATCCTAATCACTGTATGACTTACCATGTGTAATTACTGTTCAACTATTCTTGTGATATGTGTATATACCTACTAAGTGGTGTTTAGTTTGGGGTTTGTTGTTATTTTTGTAGAAAAATATAAACAAGTGAAAATAACTCCAGCCATATATGCTATCAAATTCTGTAATGTGTAACTTCGGGATATTGTAGGCAAGCTGTTACTTACAGTGTCATTGAAATATGCTTTCAAGAAAGATGAGAAAAATTGTCTGTTGGAAAGAAAATTTTCATTTAAATAGCAGTGCAGTTTTATAAGCATTGAGAAAATTTATACTCTTAAATGCTCCAGCACGTAACACTACGAAATTCTGTGTCCAAGTCTTTTTTTTTTGTCATGTGATATATTGAATTTTTTTCCAGAGCCATATATTAAATTGTGCAGGTACACAGTATTTATTTGGGACTTGCTCTGTCGTAAAATACACGGTGTAGATAAAGTCAGCGTGACTGAAGAACAAAACGTCCATGTTTCGGCGTAGCCGCTCTGTCACTGCGGGGCTGGGAGCGGTGCCCCTCACCGGGGACGGGGGGGTTACCTTTCCCCGCTAGCTTCTACAATATTGCAAAAATGTAAATCGGTATTTCCAGTATCGGCTCCATTCTTTTTATGAAAGGCCTAAACGCTTGAGGAAAGACACAATTGTTCTCCCCTTCGATGTTAAAAATATTCTGCAACGGGTTAAGTCGCTGCTTTGCCTTCTGGAATAAAACCTCCTTAGAAAATAATTCTTAGAACACAGAAATGGAGCTTTCTCCTTGGGGCTGAAACCCCCGGGTTTTTAATTTGGGAGGGAGCCCTGCCCCACGCGTGTGTGTGCCCGCTGGAGCTGTCACTCGGGGGCGGCGGGGGGCGGGGCCGGGCGCGGGGCGGGGTG